GCGCACACACACACACACACACACGTGCTCACATAGGCACTCACATACATGTCACACATATGCATGCACTCATACAGGCACACACATGGACACACATGCTCATCCATTCATGCTCACACATGCTCACAAACACGCTCACACACATGCTCACACAGGTGCACACACATACACATGCTCACACACATACACTCTCGCTCACACACATACACTCTCTCACACACACAAGCACTCACACACATACACATACAAGGTTTAATTGCAGGCAGCCACAGAAGCCCACTGCCCTTGCTACTGGTGAAGTAGCCATCTGGAGTGTGATCTCACCTGGGCAGTGGGTGAACACCAGTGTGGCTGATTGTGTGTTGAGTCGATTGGCTGACACTGGCTCCTGCAGGTGGTAGCTTTGTAGATGAGGGCTGGATTTGCGCGGATTCTGCCTGGATTCTGCCCTGGGTGGGTTGAACGGCAGCACCTGGAGGTGGTTTGTTCTTAGCTAGTTGTTGGAACTGAAAGTCATTAAGGACGACAGCCTTGGAAGCCCTGTGGGGTCATTCTGCTCTATCCTGTCGGGCCTGGGAGTCGGTTTGTTTTGTGGGGATGATGGGGCCTTTGAAAGAAAGTCCTTGTGAAAATCAAGAGGATTCAGAAGGAATCACAGAACATGTGAGTCCACAGGCCTTTCCCTGAGCTGGGCTCTTGTGTTCTGAATTTGGATTGGCAGGGCCGCTCAGCCTTGGGTGGTCCTCTAAGCTGCTAGCTGACACCCTGCAGCTGGGCTGTGGTGCAGGTGGAGCCTGCTACAAATGTGGCTCAGGTTGAGACCCCCAGGGGTCAGCCTTTAGGTGTTCTAGGGTGACCCCTAGTGGGGTACCTCTCCCTTCCTGCCCCAGAGGGATCTTCCTCTGAGTGTCCCCCATGATAACCTGCCGAAATTCTTCCCAGTCTCCTAACCAGTCAGCCAACTCACCCCTGGCCGTGCAGTTGACCACGGCTCACAGCGCCCCCGTGTGGGTGAGAGTCAAACTGCACTCCATAGGTTTTCCAGAAATGGGCCACCAGGGCTGTCTCCTGGGTCACCTCTGGCTTGAGCAGCAGGGCTTACCCAGGGCTTCCTCCCAGTATCCGACCTGCCTCCCTTTCCCTGTGTTCTCAAAGTCCCTCCCCGCTCCCTTCTCACCACAGCTGTTTGGCCCATGTGGTGTGCTAATGCTGACGCATGAGTTGATTCTCCTCTGTAAGGAGCAGAACATGTCTGGTTCAGGGAAGAGCGAAGTTCCAGTCAGGGCTCTGGTGGGTCACGGGACCCAGGGCAGAGACCGGGTATGCTGGGGTCTGGCAGGAGCTCTGTCTGCCTCCCATCCTTCTTCCTCCAGACTCAGTGTCTCAGGCTTGGAGAGGAGGGCTGTGTTCAGTCCCCACATGCATCCAGTGTAGTGCTGGCTGTCCCCGGCACTCCCCGTTCTTGTTCTCTCGTGAGCATTGGCCTGGGCCACGAGCTGCGGCTGGTCCAGGTGGGTCCACGTTGGCGCTGTTATCGTGAAGTGCAGGCACATTGGGCCCCATGGTCAAGGTCACAGGGACCGGGCCAGCCCAGTGGACGCCATTCACGCTGCCAGAGCCCAGCTGTGTGCTTGGCTTGCCTTGTCTTAGCCGATGGATGGGGCTCTGCGTTCTTGGTTTTCAGTATAGAGTGGTTCGCCTGTTGCCGACCGGCAGACTCTGATCCACGGGAGGTGTGTGTCATCAGGAGAACTGTGCTCCCCAGGGGCTTTCAGGAGCTGACTTTTCAACCATAGATCACCAGGCCTTTCCCTGGGGGGGAGGGCTTGAACCGCCAGCTGTCAGTGGCCGAGTGCTTAACTGCTGCACCACCCGGGGCAGCCCTGCCCATTTTCTGAGGTACGCTTCCCCCACAGTACAATTCACCGGTCTGCAGTGGGCAGCTCTGGTTCTCAGGACGGTCATCTGGTGTGCACCACCACCATCACCCCAGGGACTCTCCGCCTGGTTTCAGTCACTCCCCATTTCCTCCCAACCACCCCTTGCCAAGCGTCACTAGTCTGCTTCCCATTTCTGCAGGTTTTTGGTTTCCTTATAAATCTGCTCTTCTGCCTGGCCTGTCAGCCTACACACTGTTCACAAGCCTCGAGCCCTTGCCTTTCACCAAGGTAGCCACTCCCCTTCTGGTCTGAGGTGGGCTCACGGACCTGTTGTTTCAAGGCGTTCCCCCAATGGAAACCCCTGGTTGGTTATTTAATTTTTTTCCTTCATTCAACAAATGTGTATCTAATATCAGGCCTGAGTGATTGCCTCTGCTGTAGACCACCCCTACCCCGGGCCACCCCTGCCTGGAGCACCCCTGCTGTAGGCTTCCCCCCCCACGGACCGCCCCCATCCCAGGCTGCCCCTGCCGCAGGCCACCTCTGCCCTGGACTGTCCCTACCATGGACCACAGCCTGTCCCGGGCTGCCTCCTCCGTGGACTAGCTGGCATTTGGAGTGCTGTGGGAGGTGTGTCCCGGCCCAGGAGCAGGCTGACCACTACTCTGTGTGGACACCAGTGTGTGCTCATCGTTGTGGGACTCCTGAAGGACATGTGGACACGTGAACACATCTTCATTCTGGAAGCCCAGCTGCGTTCTTAAGAGCAATTCCCCTTCATGTCGGTGCTTCTGTGGCGACACGTTGCCTCTGCTGTGTTTTATTTTGTAGGTGTCTGTTCTCATCCTCCTCGCTGGGAGCTTTCAGAGGGTTGGCAGGAATCCTCTGCCAGCCTCGGTCTATGTCTCTTAGCACTGCGGCGATAGAAATACCACAAGTGGGTGGCTGTGAGGAGCAGGAGTGTGTTTCCCACAGTTCAGAGGCTGGAAGTGAATCCAGGGCGCTCTCTCTCTGTCCTCTCCGGGAGGACCTGTCTCTCACCCTCTGTGGCCCCACGGTCCTTGGCGATCTTCGCGTGGCACTGCTTTCCCCCTGGTTCATGCTTCCTGTGTGTGCATCTGGGCTGCTCCTCATGACTCGGCAGCTTAGGGTTGGGACCCACCTACACTGATGTGGCCTCATTAACATAACAGAGAAACCTCTGTTCCCAAGCATGATGGCGTCCTGCGGGTCACAATTCAATCCACAGCCACCCTGGGCAAGTAGTGGCTGTTCAGTAAATGGACAAGGAGTGCATTTATTTTCAGTGTGAAAACACATAAGAACATACATCCCCTGGGGTGGATTAGAAAGGTCATCTCATACTAGAAGAACATACATGTCTAGGGATGGATTAGAAAGTCTGTCTCACACTACAAGAACATACATGTCTCAGGGTGAATTAGAAAGGCCACCTCACGTGAGAAGAACATACATGTCTTGGGGTGGATTAGAAAGGCTGTCTCTTGTGAGAAGAACATATGTGTCCCAGGGATGGATTAGAAAGGCCATCTCACGCAGGAAGAACATACGTGTCCAGGGATGGGTTAGAAAGGCCGCCTCACATGGAAGAACATACATGTCCAGGGGTGCATTAGAAAGGCTGTCTCGGATACAGTGAGGGAGAAACACCTGGAGTGGCAGCATCTGGAAACCCAGCTGAAAGGATTAGAATTGTTGTAAGGTTGTGTCTCCTTTTCACCAAGCAGACTGGTTTGATACTCTGTTGTCAGACTTTCTGGAGAGCTCCAGAAAGTGTTCCCTGACACAGGCAAGTGTAGTTTGACACTGGACTCCGTCACCGCTCGCCTTCGTTGGTGCCCGTCACTTGCACCACCACCTCGTCTGTGGATGCTGTGTGGCAGCTGTGGCACTGCACAGGCTTCCACGGAGCATCCAGATGGAGGCAGTAGGAAGAAAGGGCTGGTGATCTGTTTCCAAAACAGAGCCAGTGGGAACCCCATTGACCACAGTGGTCTGCACCGCAGCTCATCATGCAGGTGGCGCAGCACCCGGCAGCGTCGTGCTCTGTTGTGCATGGGGTCGTGTGAGTCGGGCTGACTTGGGGGCAGCTGACAACAACAATCTACTGTCGCTGAAACACGCTGACCCTCCCACTGGAACGCAGGCCTCACGAGGCCAGGCCTTTCTGTGTCAATGACTGCTGCTCCTGCACGTGGCATTGGCCATTCAATGACTGCTACTCCTGCACGTGGCATTGGCCGTTCAATGACTGCTACTCCTGCACCTGGCATTGGCCGTTCAATGACTGCTACTCCTGCACCTGGCATTGGCCGTTCAATGACTGCTACTCCTGCACGTGGCATTGGCCGTTCAATGACTGCTACTCCTGCATGTAGCATTGGCTGTCCTAAATGTGCAAGCAATATCTGTGAGCTGGAAAAAAGGACATAAGAAGTCAATACTGTCTGCTTTTAAAACCCAAGTTTACTGTTGAAAACAGTCCCCTCTGCTCTCTCCCTCATCCCATTTCCATCCTGGGAAGGGCAAGCGCGGTTACTGAGTGTCTGCCTTCACAGACATATTTTCATGTTGCTACAATATGGACTCCACGGTTTTCAGATGTAAATGAAATGAAGTCGCCTTTTCTACCTAGTGGCTCTTGAACGTGTCCTTGTCCACTCCTATCACTCTGCCTTACTCTTTCCTCCAGCTGCCTTGACGAAGAACGTTCCAGAACACGTGCCCACTTTCCTGTCTTATAGCAGCTCTGCCACGTCCAAGGTTTTTTCTTTTCTTTCTTTTTGTGTTTTGTGTGTGATGTTTCACTTGTTACATGCCTTGAAACACTTGCATTTCTGCAGAAAAGCCTGAAACGTGGAATCGTGTGGTCCCAGGATGTGTGTATTTTAACGTTTTATGGATTCTGCCGAGTTGCTGACTGCACACTGTATCAGTGACATCTCAATGGATCATGTAGTTTGACGCTAGACTCAGTAACCCATGGAACCTTGCATTTCTGTTGCTCTGGTTTCTCGAGGGCTCTAGCCTCTGAACCATTTCCCATGAAGAATCATTCTGTGTCCTTCTAACCGCACATTCCTTCTTTTCATCCTGCAGGACAGCTGTGCCCGAGTGCTGCTGTTCCGAGGTGGAAACAAGGAGTTCAAGAACTACAACAGCCAAACTCCATTCCAGGTAACCAGGACACAGCTGTCTGTGAGTGACCATGGGAGGCCGAGCCGAGGGTCTGCATGTCGCCTGTGCACACACAATGCCAGGCTGTCTCCTCCCACTGGGAGCAGTCTGTTTGTTTATTATGTGCTTGGGGGCTGTCCCCATGTACCTCCATCTCTTAGTGTTGAAGCTGCTGGCAGGTTTCAGCTTCCTTTCAGTTAGATCCAGCAGCATGAATAACAGAGATTAATTTATGGGGAGCATTCAAGAGCAGCTTTGGAAAAACAGTAAAGATGCAGAAGCTTTGAATCGTGCAGCTGTTGGAAAATGCTGCCTTTGTTGCCTGCTTTGAATGGGGCTGCTTTGGGAGTCCCATAGGGAGGGGGCTTGTCATCCCTCTGGAGCCCTGCTGGGTCTGCTGCCCTGGAGTGGACTGAGAACAGCACAGAGCCTGCCTGGGCCCTGGGGTTCCACATGGAGCCCATGCCCACGGGCCTGGCCACGGTGTTCCACGCAGAGCCCACAACCAGGGTCCTTGGTTGGCTCATCCAGTTTTGATGCCATGGACAAGATGGTATAGGAGTTTTCTTGTTCCTTTTTGCTAAATACTGTAGGTTATAGAAATGCTTTTTTATGCTAAACGCAGTCAGATCCGTGCACTTGATTTGAAGATTAAAGGACTGTGGTTCTTCTTCATTGGAATTAGTTTTCTTATCTTACTGAGCTGAGAAAAACCAGCTTCCATTGAGTTGACTTCAACACACAGTGGCCCCACATTGGTCAGAGCATAGCTGGGCCCCCGCAGGCCTTCAGTAACTGACCTTCAGAAGCACATCCCCAGGCCTTTCTGGTAAGGCCCCTTTGGGTGGACTCAAACCACCAACGTTTGGGTTAGCAACTGACGTGTTGAGAGGGGTCTTTAATTTAGGATTGGCTTCCACTGATGGTTTGTTTCACTAACACTTGCTTAGGCGTTATGAATGGCAAGGGCTTGATGTCTATAAAATGAATGAGCTTAATGCAAAAATTGGCCCCTAATCCAGAAACGTCTGCATTCAGGAGTTTGCTGAGCTCTTCCGTTTCTTCCTTGGGTTTTCATCTTCAGTCTCGTGGTTTGCAATTGTTTAATAGGAAATGGAGTAGAACTGACTTCCAGCCCAGCTAATGGCTTTATTCAGATGACAGTTACCATTCGAGAGAGTGACCCCTTCCAGGTGGCAGTGATGAGGGGCCTGTGGCCTCCTGATGCTTCGTGGTGCGGCCACGTCTTCCCCTTTGGGATTAGGGTTGTGGGTTGGTGGCTGGGTTTAGATTTTGTTGTTGTTGCCACTGTCTGGTATGTTTCCCTGGTTCTTGAGCGTGTGTTTAATGCACACATCTTGACTGGTTTTCCTGTGGTCCCTGGTGGTGTCAGTGGTTAACATGCTCGGTTTCTAGCCAAAAGATTGGAGGTTCGAGTCCAGAGGCCACTTAGAAATAAGGCCTGACCATCTCCTTCTGAAAAGTCAGACCGTGGAAGTCCCATGGAGGGCAGATCTGCTCTGACACACACGAGTTGGGATGAACTCAGCAGCAACTGTTTTTTTGTTTTTTTTACCCTCTGATCCTTTGAAAAAAGCGAAGACAGTCTGCTTTAAGTTGATCAGAAAGCAGCAGCTCCTCCTGACCCTTTGATCCACGGCGAGCACTTGGATAATCAGTGAGCCGTTTCTGACTTTTCCAGGAAGTGAACTGTAAGTGTCAGTGGTGGCCCGGGAAAGTGAGTCTTCCATGGCAGCAGGGACAGGAGCAAATGTAGATGACCTGGCTGCTGTGTGTCCCCAGGCGGTGACCACACGGATGCTGGCATGGACATACCTTCTCTTACATGAGTCCTGGCAGGAAGCTTAATATGGCCTCATGGCAGCTGGACTACACCAGCACACACCAGTGCTCAATCAGTGCCACAGATAGCTCTGTGAGAAAGTTATCCAAAACGCTCCTGAGTTGAGAGGGCAGTGTACCTGCCAACACTGGCCGTGTAATCGGCAGATCAGGGCCTTTGTGTCTTCGCATGCTCCCAGTGAGCTCCAGGCACTGGAGCTGGGTTCCACCCTCACATCTCCACTGCCTTTGTTTTAACAGTATGAGGAGCCTGGATTTACTCCGTGAATGTTGTTGTTGTTGTTTGGTAGCATCGAGAGGACTCCAAGTCGTAGTGGCCCTCAGTACCACAGAACCAAACACTGCCTGGCCCTGCGCCAGCCTCATAACACTTGGTAGATTTGAGCTCATTGCTGAAGCCACAGTGACAACCCATCTCGCTGAGCATCCTCGTTTTTCTCACTGACCATTTGCTTTACCAGGTGAGGTATCCTTCTCTGGGACCTGCCCCTCCTGCCAGCATGTCCTGATAACATGAAACAGTCTCTCCATCCACCCTTCTAAGGACCATTCCAACTGTTCTTCTTCTGACAGTCTATGCTGTTGTTGTTGGGTGCCATCAAGTTGTCTCCGACTCATAGCGACTCTATGCACAGCAGAATGAAACACCCTGAGCCAGCTCCATGATGCTTGCTATACTTGAGCCCGTCGCTGCTGCCACCGTGTCAGTCCATCTTGTTGAGGGACTTCCCCTCTTTCATTG